CCTGAAGATCAGATGTGATGATGAGACTGAGAGAAGTGAAGATACAGTCATGAGCAGCAGCATCTCTGCTTCATCAGCCAGTAAAAAGTGATCAGAGAAGTCACAGAGATGCTCATAAGAAGCTCAGCAGCAGTCAGACATCATTTACAAAGATATTGAAATTGAAAAAATTTTTATTCTTGAAAAGTTCTTGAATCAATATATAAACATTGTCAGAAACACTCTCTCTCTATCATCTGAGTAAAAACACTTCACAGATGAATGAGAATACTCACAGTTTATAAGAATAAGAGCTGTTATAAAAAAAGAGAAAAGAAGATGAGATTTTACAGACAGATCTGAGATATTTATACTACTCTAGAGAGATTTACTTACACTATAAGTGATTCTATAAAACAGTCAGATCACTCTAGTAAATAAGAGTGATTATAAATCACAGATCTGAATCTTTCTATATAACTATAAAGAGTAATTACAGACTGTAGACATCATGATTCTACAATTCTACAGAGTTAATGAAAGAATGAAAAATTTCTCACAATTCTACAGTGTCAAAGAACAATGATTCATGAGAATGAGTGAAAGATTAACTCCTGAATACTTCTCTTTGATGAGAGTGATCTCACAGAGAGTGATTCATCTGTGAGATGAATCTGTGTGATAGTTATACAAGAATTTTATGAAAATGATTAAGAGTCAACTGAAACTCTTCTGTATGAAAGATGTAAGATGAATCTGTATAATAGTCAGAGAAGAATCTGTAGATTACAAAGAATCTCATAGAATAAGAAACTGAGTGACAGACTCTTTTCTCTTTATAATAACAAGGGATTTTTTCTCACTGAGGTTTTTTATAGATATGAAGAATTTTTAGTGAGTATCACTGCAGTGCTGAGCTGATTCTATAAAGTAACTCAGTAAAAGGCTTCACAGACAAAGCCTTAGAGAGAAGGAGATATATAAGAAATCTCACTTCTCATGAATTCTTTATCTCTATTTCTATCTCTTGTATAATTAATAGAGTTAGCAGCTCTTGACTACACACAACTATATAGACTGAAGTTCATGAATACTATTCACAACTCAGCTTGAATGCTATTATAGATTTAACCTCTACATTTTATCTTTCTACTGTGAATACTTCTAGTAGTTAACAGTACATATCACGCCAAGCTGCAAACACTCGAATAATCGCCTGCGAGCACTTATTCTTACATGTTTAAGAAGTATTGAGTCACTTGAGACAGTATTAACTCTATGTAAACACTGAAAAATGCTCATTCTACATGCAGAAGATTGATTTCTTAGATTATATTATTGAGATGAATAGCATTTCAATGAACAGAAGTCAGATCTTCATCATTGAGAACTGATCAACACTGCAGACATACTGTGAGATGCAGATGTTTCTAGAATTTATAAATTTCTACAGATGATTTATCTATATATATTCACAGATTACTGTCTCTCTTACAGATCTGTTAAAGAGAAGTGTGAAAGATAGAAAAATGAGATTATTTACTCTTATTCAAGATACTGTACAGATGTTTATGAAATTAAAACAAGCTTTCACAAATGCTACAATACTGAATCACTTTAACTCTGACTTACTCAGTCAGTATAAGACTGATGTATTCAGAAATAAGATCTGTGAAATCTTTTCACAGTTGACACTGAAGATCTTTCAATATTAAAAGAATCAGAGAATAATTACTTCTGAAGAAACAGACAATGAATTGTCTGTAAAAGAAGACTTTTTTATAAAGTCTATAAGATACTGTGAATGAAGATCAGTGATCTTCTTCTTCAAGAAGTTATCACTCATGCAGAGAAGATATGATACTCATAATCAGAAGATGTTAGTAATTATTGAATTCTTTAAGATCTAGTGACATTATCTTTAGAATAGTAAGTACTCAGTGTAAGTTCTCACTGATCATGCAAATCTGCATTATTTCTTAACAATAAAAAGCTTGACAGAATGTCAAGTCAGGTGAGTGAAGCTGCTTTCAGAGTATGATTTCTATATCTAATACTGTTCAGATCAGCTTAATCTTATTAACACATTATCTAGACAGTCTGATTATAATATTATTAATGTGAAGAAGAATTCTATAAAAGAATCTCTGTCATCACTGCAGAAGAAGCTGACTGCAGAGAATTGAGATTCTCTGAAGCTCAGAAACAGTGCTGAAAAGACAGCTGTGTAACTCAGTATAGAAGATAAAAGAAAATCTGAGTCTCTGCAGAGAACTGACACTGAAGATTATAAGCTTCTCATGTTATATTTTATAATCATTAAATTGATAAAGAATGAAATAGTCTACAATCTTTCAATCTGACTACTTTTGAAATTTATTGATAAATTACAGAAGAGAGACATCTCTACTGCAGCTTGAATTCAGAAGTTGAAGAAGAAAGAATCTGATTTAAACTTGAAAGAGACAGACTCTGAGCAGAACAGTGCTGCTAAGAAATCAAGTCACTGATAACTAGAAGAATATGAACTTCTACTGCTGAATGATTCAGTCTTTGTCTCTTGTAGCAGAGTGATGCATCAGAAGTTATTAAGAATTCATTATAATAATTCTTATACAGAACACTTCAGATTAGAGAAGACTGAGAAGCTTCTAAAATGTAAATATATTTAAGACAAGCTCTGAATAGATGTCAAAGAGTATATTAAGACTTATAATATCTATCAAAGAATAAAGATTCTGTGATATAAGTAATACAGTAAGTTGATATCACTGTCTGTTTTAAAGAACTTATAATAGAATCTATCAATAAATTTCATAGTTAATCTATTAAAGTTGACAAGAGTCAAAGAATATGACTTAATTTTAATTATTATTAACTGCTTTATGAAGATGATCAGATATATTTCTACTTATAAAAAGATTAAAGCCTCTGAATTAACTGACCTGTTTTTAGATATTATCATTCATAATCACAGTGCTCTGAAATTATTAGTAACAGATTAAGAATTTCTCTTCATCAGTAAATACTGATCAGCTTTTTACTATCATCTTATAATAAGATGTCTTCTCAGTACTGTATTTCATCTGTAGACAGATGATCAGACTGAACACTAGAATCAGACACTAGTATAGTATCTTTGAGTGTTCTATTCATATTATTAGAATGATTAACTCAAACATCTTCTAACTACTGAATTTGTATATAACAATGTAAAGAATGTAATCTTAAAGATATTCTCTTTCTATACTTATTATAAATATAATTCTTCATTACTCAGTGATGTCACAGATGACATTTCAAAAAGAGAAATAGACAGTCAGAATATTGAACAGATATAGAGAATAGAGTATTTCTCAGTATCAGAAGTAAAAGTGAGATTGAAACTTTTAAATAAAATTCATAAGAAGATGATAAAAAGCATTCATCACACTCAGAAGTAATAGATAAAATACTATAATTAAAAACATCTTTTAATAAAGTTCTTGATAGAGAATCAAGTACTATTTTCAGTAAAAAATATTAAGACAATGAGACTGTGTAAGAAGCTCAGTGAGTGATGACTAGAATCTTTCTCAGTAACAAGAGTAATAAGTAAGCAGATATATAAGTTAAAATTACTCACAGAATTAAAATTAATTCATTCTATTTTTCACATTTTCTATTTAAAGTTCTATAAGTAACACTCTGAAACAGAGCTATCTTGACTGAATGATATCAAGATTGAGAGAGATATCAAATATCTTGTGAAGAAAATATTAAATAAGTGAATATATTACAGTAAGCTTTAATATCTTATTAAATAAGAAGATTATTCATTATCAGAGAATTTATGAGAACTGCTTAAGTATTTGAAAAATGCTGAGAAAGAGATTGTAAGCTATAAGACAGTTAGTAGAGACTACTCTGTTATATATCAGAGACATTGAATAAGAAATACTACTTAAGACTTCTTATTTTTTTTAAAGAATTTTTTAGAGATAATCTCACAGTGATGAGTCAGTGTCTTATAGACTCTGTAGTACTCTTCTTCTATTTTCTTCTAAAGAGATTTTTTAAAAGTTTAATGAGACTATACAAGTATAAAATTCCTGAAGTGATTAATAAGAAAAGAAAGAAATATTTAAAATTAATAAAAAAGATTGATATTATTAACTTACAGACTACTGCTATTCTAATGAGACTGCAGCTCACTGAAAAAGTAAAAAGAAGAAATCTCAGAATCTACTTATTAATAATCACACTCTTATCAAACTTATTCTTCACTGTTGAAGTCTCTGATATTAGTATCTTTATCTGCTGAGAAGTTAGTACTGTAGTATTACAGAAGAGTATGCTGTAGAGAAGTATAAAAGATACTGAAAGTATTAACTTATTAACTTATAAAGTATCTTAGTTATCTACTTCAACTGAAGTGAGATTCTCTTTAATCAGTAATTAATCTTTATAACACTTTCAACAGCAGTACTGACTGATTTCTTCTTAAAGTCAGTCATTCTGAGATATTTTTTCATCTCAGAGATTCACACTTTCATCTTCTTTTATAGATGAGTAAGAGAAAACTTCTCAGTCTTGATGAAATCTATCAATACTTGAAGCTCTGAGACTCTCACTCTGTACTATCAGAGCTGATACAATATCTTCTTGTAGAATAGATAATACTTACAGAGAGATAGAAGTTATTATTACAGATACAATGAAAATAATAAGAGTGAGAGAAGAGATAGATATATAAGATCTCTCTCTTCTTCAGCTGCTTAGTGCAGTGCAGACAAGTAGCAGTACTGATCAGAAGTCACACTGAAGCCTCTTTATAGAAAGAAGATAAAGAAATCACAGAATTCTGTGAACTTAACTCAGCAGCATTCTGAGCAGAGCTCAGACATGTCATGAGAGAGAAACTACAGACTGAGCTTCTCAGAGCTGTTGTCTCTGAAATCAAGCTCTTCTCAGAATTCTCTCTGAATAATCACACAGGGTCATACATCACTGTGTTGATTGAGAGAGAGAGTGGTGTTGCAATGGCAGTGAAGAAGACAGAGAAAGAACTGAACACAGACAAATCAATCAGCAGAGAGAATGACACCTCACTGCAAGACACAGCAACTATCACCACAGCTGTAAGAGAAGTAGAAGAAGAAGAAGAAGAAGATGTGACAATGAGAGTAATGCTTCTGCAGTCTGTTAACACTATCATCTTCACCTTCAACCAGGCTTTCTTAGCAGTTATAAAGACTACAGCTGCATCACAAAGACATTTATTCACTAGAAAATGTCAGAATAAGCTCTTTATTATTCTTCAAGAATGATACTCTTATACACTCACTATTATAATTGAGAAGAAGAGAAAGAAAAATATTTCATAGAGAGAGAGATCTTTTTAAAAAATTCTGTCACTACTGTTAGCTTTGTCTCTAAAATACATCACTTTTGCAGAGAATTTCATATATAGAATGAAATATGATAAGAGATCTGTAAGTTACTTATTAACTATGTTTTCTTCATTTCAAATTGATATATAAGAAACTCACTTATCACATATTTGATTTGAATGAAGATGAATAAAGAAAGATCTATACAGTCAGTAGAAAAACTTATCTATTTCTTTATATCACATGCAGTATATATACTGTTAATCAGTTGATAACTATTACTATATAACAAAGATAATTTCTAATTCAGTAATCTTAAGAGTATAGAGACTATACTCTTAAAGAGAAGAATATTATCACACTCTCAGCTGTATCAAGATCTTATTATGATTTCACACAGCTTATTACTTTCATACAGATGATTTTATCTCATTCAAACTAGTTTTTAATCACTCTATAATATTATTCAGATATATCATAGAAAGATCTGATTAATAAATATAAGAACTCTGCTTCTATACAAGATCAGCAGATTACTTTTTCTTGATAGTGAGACACTGCTGAGATATCACTTCAGCTATTCTCACTCATGAAATGAGAGAAAGTATCTGCTTATTATCTATATAGAATAGCTAGATACTGACTTCTTATAAAAGAAGTCAGTGATTTATTTTTTCTTCTACTGAAATATATATAAGAGTTACTATGTATCTTATACAATCTTCTTAGTATACTAAGTATCATATCTGTGATATTCTCATAATAACTCTGTAGTCTATAAGCTCACTATTCAAGTAAGATAGTCAAGCTCACTTATACAGCTTCTCAAACAACTACTTCTATATAATGCTGCTAACTAGTCATCACTTCGGTTCTGCCATGTTACACAGTATTTCATAGTTAACATAGATCTCATTATATAGAAACTTCACTATCATCTTCTCTATTATCTCTGAAACTGCTTTTATAACTAGTCAGCTAGTAGTGTAATCAATAGTAGTGATTATTCATCAATTTTCATTTGATATTCATAGTAATATGTCTATGAGATTCATTTCTCATTATTTAAATAATTGTATTATATACTTTATCTGATATTATACTTTCTCATATACTAATTCTTTCTTAGATTCTTTTATAATCTGATAATTCAGACACTTGTGACTGTATATCTGAATGTTCTCAGTCATACTTAATCAGTATACTCTTGATTTAAGTACACTCATGAGTTCAGAGCTTTCTAAGTGACTGAATTCCTTATATATGTAAGCTACTAAGTTATATCTAAATAAAGATTCTAGATAGAGAGCTTCTACATATTCTAAATCACAGTAAAGTATAGATTAGACTGACTGTGTGACCGTGTCTAAGACCAGAATCAGATTTTTTGATAGTTTCATTATCAATTCAACTGATCTCATTACACAGTTTTGACATTAGATAGTAGTTTCATACTGTCTCAGTGAGACTTACTGTCTACTCTTATCACATTTTTCAAATGAGATCATGATTTCCACTTCTCAATTTAAATTATTTTTATTGCTTTAAATGACTTTAAATCTCATTTGAGTGTTATCAAAAAGCATTACTTTTTAAAAAATTAAAAATAGTCTAAAAAAAACCATAAAATGTCTAAAAATAGTAACTTTATGCTAAGAATGAGACTAAATGAAACCAAATGAAATCACTTTCTCATTTTTTTCAAGTCATGATCTCATTTTAAAATCTGATATATAGTCACTTTGCATGTTTTTTTAATAGCCAGTCCCAGCGGGATTCACGCCAAGAAATGTATGAGACCAGATCAAATGAGATCAAATGTGAAATTCATGATCCCGGCGGTCAGTCTAGTAAAGGATAACATTATTTTTCAATTTTCTCAGCTTGAAGTTTGAAAGCATCTCTTCTACTACTTTCATAAGATACTTGTTATCTGATATCTTGCTATTCTCTAAGTAGAAGATCATTGTGTTTACTCATTCTGATTTCTTACACTCTCTCAGTATATTTAACATGAACTTCTCTTATATCTGATTCACAGAACTCTCACTCATGAAATTGAGTCTGTAACTGATTGCATTAGATATCACAGTGTCTGATCTCTTTCAGTATTTAATATGAAGATTATACACTTGAAAATCTGAGATTCAACATACTAAGTATTTGAAAGATTTTATCATCAATTGTAGATAGAGAAGACTTTTGTAATTCATAATCATCATTGTTATATACTTATTATCAATATATCTATCTCATAACATCAGTATGTACTTAATTACTAGTAATTTCTTTTCATACACTGAATAATTGAGCTCAGTGTCTGATAGTTTTCTATCATTATATATTACTAAGTACAGCTTGCTGTTCTTGCTTATCTGTAGAAGAATATCTCTGATAGCTCATTCAGATGCATTTATCTCAATGTAGAAAGATTTATCACAATCTATTTAAATAAGTACTGAGAATGTTATTACACATTCTCTCAGTGTGAGAAAAGCCTCTTCACACACAGTATTTCAGATAATTGAATGAAACTTCTTCTTTTACAGATTTATATTCATTTCTCTTAAGAGATCTGAGAGTGATGTAGATATTCATATAAAATTCTTAATAAATCTATGATAATATAAGATTAATTCAAGAAACTGTTATACATGATGTATATTTCTCAGCTATAGTCAATTCACTATAACATTCAATTTCTTCAGAATGAAATGTATACAGTTATTATTATTATTATTCTTCAATTATAGATGTATGCAGTCAGAGACTATGACATCTACCTGAGAACTTTTAGTTCTCAGAGTTTTTTCTATATCTGTAAAGTTAACTATTATACATTCATCAATTTCAGATATGCAAAATCAGAAAATTTCAGCTCAGAATATAAAAACTGTTTACAAATTACAGTGTTTTAACATCTTCTGATACTTTGAAATCATTTGACAATATCATGACAAAGGAAAAGAGAACACAGTCTTAAAGATAGACACATTAAATAGATAGACAGAAAGAAATTGAAAGGAAAAGATAAAGTAAAGAAAGACTGTAACAAAACAAATTATTAAAAGATAGTATATAGCTGTTTTAACAGACTATATCTAGTTGATTTCCTTCTCTTCATATTTAGATAATTCTGAATTTAGCCATTTTCTTGTAGCTGCTTGAGTTTCTGATAGAAAGTCTATTAAGTATTTAATTCCTGTCTCAGTTGAGAATAAGAATCTCATATTTAATTGATTTAGATCATACTTCTCTTTCAATCTGGCTCTGAGACTATTGTATAATGCACAGTGCATTACAATATGCTTAGAATTCTCATTTGTATTGCAGAATGAGCATTCTATTGAGTCAAATCTATCATCAAATCTTTGTATATAAGATTTGAAATAGTCATGTTCTAGTTTCAGCTGTATTATAGATGAGAATATTTTCTTTTTACATTTAATTGAACAAGATTTCTACTTGGGTTTTATTTCAAATCTTGAATAATATATACTCTTCTTTTATTTCTGCCAGCTTTCATTTCACTTATCTAAACAAGATTCTTTTATTTTTCTCTTTATAAAAGATCAGAATATAATTTTTTGAATAGATCTGCTTAATTCTACACCCTTTTTTACAGCTGAATCAGCCAATTCATTGTCATGAATATTCATATGAGTAGGAACTCAGTGCAGATGAATTATCAGCTTTGATATTCTTCTCTTTTAAATTTTTAAAACAGAGTTTAAGATCAGTTCAAGATTCATTTGATCATTATAAATCTGACTATTTCTAAGTCTTTTTAAAGCAGCTTGACTATCAGAGAATATTCATATCTCTTTCAAATAATTTTCTCTTTTATGAGATTTTATTTCAATGAGTTTGAAAGCTTTCACTATTACAAATAGTTCAGTATTAAAGACTTCACATTCACAGCCTAGATTCTAGAAATCTGAGATAAAATTGATATTATCTTCAGTATAAGCAATGCCTGTGTCTAATCTATTCAAGTTCTCATTTTTTAAGTTATCTGAATAAATCAGAATAGAGTCTTTTATATTGATTTTAGAAATTCTCTTCAAATGCTGTTCATATTCTTTCTCTTTTGATAGTTCACTTATTTGTAAGTCTATAAGAGATTCAAGCTTTTCTCTTCAGAGAGATAACTTCTCATGATTCACTTTTTCAACATTTAAAGAAGAAAATTGATTTTTAATCAGAGAGTATAGTCTGTAAAGTTGAGAAGGCATTTTCTTTGAAGAATCATTTTCATTTCAATCAAGAAATCTATTCCAATCCAGTTCATTTCCAGAGTTAATTGATGAAAATGAAGATGAGACTCTTTCTCTGATTATATGATTTGAGCTCATCTTTATAACTCTCAGAGCATAGTTCATACAGGCCTTTTCAAATTTAATAGCAGAAGAAGGAATTGAAGCTTCAATTTTCATTACTTTAATAGAAGATGATTTGAATGCTCTCAGAATTCTTCTCAAGGCTCTGTTTTACAGACTTTGAAAGAGTTCAGTGAAATTCTCTTGATTATTTCATCAAACTTGAACTTCATAATCAGCTACTGATGTAATACAGGCTATATATAACTGTCTCATAGCCTGGAAGGATAGACCTCTCTCTGTATTTAATAGTCTGATTATGTTATTCAATAGTCTTTCTGTCTTGACAGTTCTTTGTTGAATGTGATATTTAAAATTCAACTTGGAGTTTAACTATACTTCTAATCATTTGATATTTACACTGGGTTTAATCTCTCTATTTAAAAGAGTTAGAGATAGTTCTTTCATATTGAATCTAGAAAAGAAATGAATTAACTCAGTTTTATTCATATTAAATTGAATTTGATTGATATCTGCTCTAATAAAGATTTTCTTTACAGCTTCTTCAATTACTTTCAAATTCTCTTTGATAGTTTTTGAGCTGTAGACTAGATCAAT